CCTCTACCAAAATTGCTTCCTCCCTAAATATGAAAGCTCCCAATATGCTCTGATCCTCCCTGCAATTACGGATAAGGCTGAAGAACCTCTAGAGCAGTGGTTCTCAACCTTCCTAATGCCGCAACCCTTTAATACAGTTCCTGTGGGTCGCAACTCACAGGTTGAGAACGGCTGCTCTAGAGAGACCTGAGTTTGAATCCCACCTTGATCATTTCTTCCTTGAATAACCCAGGGCACATAAATGCCCTACACCTTATTTTCTCCTTCTGTAAAATGGTTGTATTACTAGTACTAATTACATGGGGTTATTATGAAGTGTAAGGGAAGTAATACACGTTAAAAAGCATGGTATTTGCTACACAAGTTACCTCAAAAGATCTGAAGATGGGTGGCGCCTATAGCTCAGTGGGTAGGGTGCCAGCCGCATACACTGAGGCTGGCGGGTTATAACCCAGCCTGGGCCAACTAACACAACACTGACAACTGCAACAAAAAAATAGCCGGCTGTTGTGGTGGGCACCTGTAAGTCCCACCTGCTTGGGAGGCTGAGGCAAGAGAATCACTTAAGCCCAAGAATTTGAGGTTGCTGTGAGCTGTGACACCACAGCACTCTACCGAAGGTGACAGCCTGAGGCCCTGTCTCAAAAACAAACCAAAAAAAGACCTGAAGATGATTAATTCTGGAATTCCTCTTTCTGATTTCATGCTGCCTGCCTGCAAAGTTTGTGAACATATTTCCCAATTTTTTTTTATTTATCATGGACAAATTTCTTAAATTGTTATAAATGCTTTATTAAAAATATTCAAATGATTTTGATTATTTGATTTTATGAATCAAGCTAATAATATTCATTTCAACTTACAAGTAATTTTAATTGTAGGTATCCCTTTTTTTACACACTTTGAATCGTGTCCTTTAGACAATGAACACTGACAGGTTAGCTTTTTGTCATTTGTAAGTTTTTTTAATTAAAAATTTTCTAATATGTAAATAATATGAAGTCACCAGTAAGTTTTTCAATGCACCTTCATTTCTTAAGAAACACCATGAAATTCTTAGCAAAATATCCTGACCAATATGGTGTAAACTGGTCATATACACACTCAAAATGGCTTATAATGTGTTATCATTTTTTTCAGAATGGAAATATACATGGAGGAAAACAAACTGCTACAGTGGTTGTTGGCCCCTGGGTTTTAATAACCTCCCCCATCCCACCTGTCAAACCAACATTCACATTCTCTTCTTACTAATCCCTTCTTAAAGCTAAATTCAACTCCCCCTTATCCAGGGCAAAGGTTCAGAGTAAGAGGGAAAATAAGGACATTGCTAACCCTGACTATTAAACTGAAACACTATTCCAATGCCTGCTATCTGCTATGCCATCACTCTCAGCATCTCTTTCTCGTTCTTCTTCCCAGTCTTCTCTAACCATTGCCATTGACCTTGAACACTTAGATTAATGAATGCATCTATGTGACTGCAGAAACATTCCATTGTGTTGACAGCAGGTAAATGGAATCATCACTAATATGGTTACTTTGCCAAACACTGTTAAATTACAAAAAAAATTACCAACTTTCCTCCCATGAAAAGAGTCAACGGCAAGAATCAGATTAAGATTAGTTAAAATGGAATAGTATAATAGATATCTGGTAGTGGATACTAACTCTTAATCAAGGTTCCTTCCGAGGAAGGATTTTATGACGGATAGCCAGAAGATTAGGAAATAAACAGTCATGTTTTTTATCATCCCCAAATCTCCTATATTCTACCTGAATGCGTGTTTATCCTATCCTTTGTCTATCCACCATAAATGAACCAGATCTTTCCATCACAGAAGCCAGACACTTGCTCTGTGCCACATAAACCACAATTCCTCCTCATTCGCATGAAAATTAGAAAGAGCAGTAAATAAACATTTCCAAAACTTACCTAGTCCTTACACATACAAGTGGGTCCAGAAACAAAGAAAAAAGCAAAGGGACAAAGGCTACTCTGTAAAGTGAGCCAGTTTAAAAGGGGAAGGAAAAAAAACGTTGGCTTGAGCAACCGTACTGTTTCTCGTATCAACAGAACCTCAAAAAAGATGGGAATGCGTCTCTCTATGCTAGCTCCTGATTCTGGCATATCCCATAAGAGAAATGGAATTATGACTCAACCTGAAAACCCTGGGCCCTCATTTCCCAGCGGCCTAAATCAATCCCCAGTCCAGGACAAGATGCTGTGTGAGATGCATAATTATTTTAGGCCACTAGGGTAAGCACTATTCCTGGCAACTCCGCAGGCAGCGCCATGCATGAGGGTTTCTAATTGTCTTTGGTGATTTGGTTCTGCATAAACTCAGATTTTTTTTTCTTTCAGTCTTCCAGCCAGGTAAGCAGGAAAGGCCAACTCCAGTCAGAGAAAGAGACAATCAAGGTCAATTCCAGTTCCGTTTTGGTGCAGATTAGTCTACTTTCCTCTGCTGCTTTCCTGACACCTGTCCTTGTTTTTTTTGTCTGATTATGAAATACCTAGTGAGAGAACCCTGGAAGTTTCTGATGCTCACCCAGTCATCCAAATGCCTCCCAGCCTAAGAAATAACAGGAATATCCTGAAAAGCAGTTTCCTTCCGAGGCTAACCTCAGGTTAACTTGGAAGAAGTATCTCCCATGGCTATTTTGAGGGTGAGGTTGAGACTAATACCTGCTCTCACTGGAGGTAATACTGATTTAACTTTCCTATTACCAAATCCCTAAAGTTTGGCTTAGCAGCGCACCTACAATATACTCAGTTATTATCGAGCATAGAAAGGGAAAAGCAAATCTTGTTATTCCCATTTGGAAAATAATGCAATCAAAGTTTAGAAGCTTAGAAGAAACTTCTAAAATGTATTCCAAAAAGTTGTAGCAGGAAAGTAGATCAGCTGACACTTGTCCCTGGTTTTGTAGGTCACAGCCTCTTTGCCAGTTTAGAGTAGTGTTTAACTTACCATGTATCTCCTTGAAAACTTCTATTTACTTTCTTAAACCGTGGATACCAGTGGAGAGGTATCAGGTGTACATTCCAGACACTTACACAACATACACAGACTGAACCATCTGCCTGTTGAGTACAGAACTCCAAGCTGAAGAGTCTCTAAAGGTGTTAAGAAGAATAAATGAAGCACCAGGGGCAAGCAGGTTCCAAGGTAAAAGTAAATCCTAGTCTCCTGCAAAAGCAAATTAAAAGCATCCTTATTATTACAAATAAAAAACTAACCAATTTATTCTGGGCTTTTTTTTCAAACTGCATTGCTCCCCTCCCCAGTATCTTCATTAAATAAATGCAAACACATGTGCTTCCAAATGGGTAGGTGTAAAAGAACATTCTGCACAATTACATCTAGGCTGCGGCAGATTTACAGCACACATATATCTGGGGGATATTAACTCACGATGACAGCTGAACACGACAAATGCAACAGTACACAAACTGGAATGCCGGAAAAAATGCAACTACAAACCCCATGCAGACAAACGCGTATACAATGAGTTTTCCCACAACGCACACGTGGCCGCACTTACAGGAGCTTAACCACTTTGAAAACCCCCAAACACAAACACTGGAGCCTCCGGCGCCCGCGAGCGGCCCCCACACACGCGGCCGCGCCTTCATCTACAGGCAGGGATTGTCGCGCGGCCCAGGGTACGCTCGCCCTCCCACTGGCATCCCACTGCGCGAACACATGCGCGCCAACCGGTCCCTGCGCCCGCCCGCCGAGGAAGCGGCGGCTCCCGGGGCTGGGGGCAGGGCCCGAGGGGGCGGGTGCGCCGCGGGGCCGGGCCTCGGAGCCCGGGGAGGGGACGAGGGGCGGGTGCGGGGCGGTGCCCGGCTCACGTGGGCGGGCGGGAGCAGCTGAAGGTTCGCTCAGGAGCCTGGGCTGTCCTCTCGCGCGCGGCGCTGGCCGGGGCGGCGGCGGCGAAAGAGGAGGAGGAGGAGGAGGAAGGCAGCGGTGGCGGCGGCAAAAGAGGAGGGAGGACGGGGGCGGCGTCGGACTGGAGCCGAGCGGCGGCGCGAGCTGCCCGGGGCGCTGTCGTGAGCTCGCCCGCCGGGCCCCCACCCCCGAGCTACACCCTGCCGTGCCCAGCACTGCCCGCGTCCGTGCCCCCGCGGGGAGCGCGCCGGGGCTGCCCCCCGAATGACGGGCGGAAGGTTCGACTTCGACGATGGCGGCACCTACTGCGGCGGCTGGGAGGAGGGCAAGGCGCACGGGCATGGCATCTGCACGGGGCCCAAGGGCCAGGGCGAGTACTCCGGCTCCTGGTCGCACGGCTTCGAGGTGGTCGGAGGCTACACCTGGCCCAGCGGCAACACCTACCAGGGATACTGGGCGCAGGGCAAGCGGCACGGGCTGGGGGTGGAGACGAAGGGCAAGTGGATGTACCGGGGGGAGTGGTCACATGGTTTCAAGGGGCGCTACGGGGTCCGGCAGAGCCTGTGCACCCCCGCTCGCTACGAGGGTACCTGGAGTAACGGGCTGCAGGACGGGTACGGCGTGGAGACCTACGGGGACGGAGGTGAGCGGCGTCGCATGTGACTAGGCTGCCCCGCGAGCTGGCGCGGTGGGCTTTGCCCCGACTGCGGGGAGGGCGCGAGGCGCACGTGTCCGGAAACGCGCCAAAACACCTGGGGCAGCCTCCCACCCATCTCCCGCACCCTGCCTTCCCAGGAGGGTGCGTTGGGACCGGACTGGAGCGCTAGAGTTCGAGCTGACCCGGTTCTTGGAGCCGGCGGTGTGTCCACACCCAGGGGAGCGAGGCGTGAATATACCTGGCCGGCGCCAGCGCTTCACTGCCACCAGGAGGGAGCGCCGCCCGGGAGGGTTGGGCCGGGGAGAGGACGCTGTCACTTGAGCCAGTCACATTACGTTCTTGATCCCTCCCTCTCCCGGCCGGGTTTGAAATCGCCACTCCCAAGGAGTTAGAGCAAACGCCCTGGGCTTGAGAGGCCGGCGGTCGGTGCTGACCGCTCCCCGGATTGGTTTCACGTGGAGTCGTATTTCGCTTCTGGTCCTCTAGTAGCCTAAAGATAGAAGCCAGAACCCCATAACTAGGATGTTGGGGAATTAGTGTACCCCTAAATTATCATTTAGGGGAGAGGTACATTTGGAAATGTCATAATTAATGAAAACATAGAGGCCGCCCGATGCAGGTGGGGTTCAGAGAGTGAAGTTCTTAGTTTTCTTTGAGTTCCTTAGAGTATTGGTTTTCATTCAAAAGAACAGCAGTCTTCGTTGACCGAGAGACCTTTGGACAAATTATTAGGGAAGTATTTTAGAAATGGTCAATAAAGGGTACATTTTTACAAATACAATAAAAGGTATGTTCCTGTACCACCTAAGTTAGTAGCTACTGTACTGAGAATAGCAGTACTGAAACGCCGATTTGCATTAAGGTGTGTGACCTAACTATGCCTGACTGTGAACAAAAATCACCTTATTTTAATATTTAACAATATTTGCAAAAGGAATTATAAATAGGATGAAAGTTTCTTTTTTAATTAGGAAAAGTGTATATCATCGAAACAGGTGTCAAAACCTCATGAAATTTCCTTGTATAAGTTGAGGGATGAATGGCTTATGCTTTGGGCAAAGTACGTTTTCTGATAATAAACATAATCACAGTTAATTGAAAAGGGTTGTAGGAGGCGATGTCACCTTTTGGAATTAAGCAGCTCAGAGTTGGAGGTTATTAAAGGGATCCAATTAAAAGTTTCTCCAGCCCACTGCAACCTCAGTTATGCCATTGCTTATATAAAAGCTTATACAATTTGTACACTTCACTGACTCAGAACATTCCGGCTGTGTTTCAAATGCAAAACGACAGAATGGTAGGACTTGCTAAAATGGACAGCTTTTCATCCTACAGTATAAATAAAAGATAGGGTTCTCATGGAGTAAAAGAAAGGGAAAAAAAACTTTCTCTGATACTTTTCTCTGGGTTGTGTGAGTCCCAAGTTCCACAGCGGTTAATTAGAGCCCTTAAACGTTCTGAATGGGCATGAAGTGCCTTGGTTGACAGCCCTATAAATATGTTAGCTTGTGTGTGACCAGATTTTATTAGAGGCCCCAGCTCTACTGTATAACTAAATTCCATGCTCAAAAGTGGAATGCAAAATTTATTCTTTAAATATGTGCTTTATTTTGTAACCATTTAAGAAGTCCATGGCTAGTCCTTTCACTTCAGTTTTGGAAGGCAAAAAATAGTCATCTTTTAAAGTTATTATTCATTAAACAAACTCTTGGTTTAAAGTATTCGTTATACCTAGTAATCAAAATATATATAGCACAGTAAAGGCTGTCTGTGTACATGCTGTAGAGCCCAACTAAGTATCCAGGATGACTTTGTGAATAATCTGCCTTCTGTTTTAAAACAAACTTTTAAAAATTAAAAATAGTTAAAATTTGGCATCGCCATAGTACTGTGGTTTTCTATTTCTACCAAAAAAAAAAAAATCTAAAATACTACAAGTAGGAAAGAAAAAAAGAAACCTCTTAAAAATCACTATTGAAAGTCTACTGTGCTACTAAATATTCTGCTTTCTCTCATATGTTCCTTTATTTCATTAGAAAGCCCTTAATCATAATAGGGGAGTCTAAGTACACGTGTATTGCTATAACTTATTTCATACAAAAGTTTTGGCCAAAAGGAATATTACTTTATTTTCGCTAAATAGCTCTTTCGTCTCCACTCTCAATCAGATTCAAGGAAAATCTAATTCCATGTATTTTGTGGAGGAGGAAGGAAGCCGTAATTCTACACAAGTATCACTTAATGTATTAGTGATTTGTGTGTGAAGTGTGGTTGAAAAAGAAACCTTCCAAATAAGTTAGTACCCTCCTCAGGAAATCCAGAGCTAGGTACCTAGAATTTTTTGCGCAAATGCTGACTTGCTGTACTGTTTTTCTTTTTAACCTGTCATAAAACTATTCAAAACAATCTGGGAAGACGCATGTTTTATTAAGTAGCTGTACACCCATCCGTCACATATGAACTTAAGTTTGGCATGGTGCAGTGCAAATTTGAAAATCATTCCAAAACTGATGCCCACTACTGCAAGATTGTGTAGTTATAAAATGACTAGATCTAAAAAATTAGCTCCCAAACTAATACAACTCAAAACTGGTAAAAATAATAATAATAATTTCTATGCTTGTGAAATGCACATCTATATTTTAGGAATCGAGAAACTCATTAGAACTTTATGAAGCAGGTGGGTTCCAACTTCTCCCTGCTGCTCAAATAAGGAAATGAGCCCTTTTTCTCCTAGGCTCATTGACTAAACTAAACCTATTTTAAATTTCAGATGAACTACTAACAGTTTGAGTGTAAACTAGTTTCTAGCAATTCCACGGAGGAATGCTTTCAATATACTGTGATTTAGCAAAATGGGAGAGGAATGTGGCCAATGCTGTTGTCCCTGCCCTTCCCTGTTTGACAACAGAGACTTAAACTTTCTAATTATTGCTGTTGCCTTAAACAGCTTGGATTTTCAAACAGTATTTCTTTGGAAATTCTAAATCCAAGCCTTATTTTTGGAAATATCAGTTTAAGGAAACTAGCTGTTAGTTTCCCGTTAGTGTTAAAAATTTACCAAGAAAGTACGGTTGTGTTTAAAAAGTGCAAATACTTATTAATATCAAACAGCATGTCTACAAGTTTTAGCAAAATTAAGTTGTTTTTATAAAGAAAAAGGACATAGTTATAGCATTTGTGAACCAAATGAAATATTAAAAATAAGGTGGTTTATTTTATAATATGTGTGAGTCAGGCTGTATAACTTTTATACTAAAGAATTTATATTTTATATACAGGCAATATATATAAAGGAAAGGTCAAGTTGAAATTTTATAATTCTATTGAGGTGGTGTTGTTTGGTGATGGCTTAAATTCAGTAGGAAGCTTCTCAACTTAAAATGTTGTATGTGACTACCTTACCCTCTTGGGCTAATCCTTTTGAGAAAGCAGTGGTTCACTTACCTCCTTAGAAGTTCATAGATGTCAAGTTGAGACTTCACATCTACCCAGAACGTAACATTCATAGTATCAGACCCACTTCATATTTCCCTGTTGTCCTGCTATTGTCTATGACCACATGGACGATATGTCAAAATGAACAGAATAAGAAGATCGTTTTCACGTTGGTCAAAACTTTTGGGAGCCATTGTGGTTTTAACTTTTCAGATAATCAGCCCTTGTTAATACAGTAATCTAAATAACTAATATTGCTCGATGTTTTAAAAATAAATGCATTGGAAATTTATACATGGAAATAGAAATAGAAAATGCAGAGTGACTGCAGGGTAGATCTACATAATCAGAAATGGCAAAAGGTCAGGACAGACTAATGATGTATTTTCTGTGGTATTATGAATTGTTATGAATAACACAGAAGTAATTAAATTTTAAAATTTCCAGATAGCTTTCTTTGAGGGATACAATAATTTAAAATGTGCCTTTAATGAAAGGAAATGCCTGTGATTTGAAAAGAAACTTCTGAATTCCCTAATTTAACATTCATTTCCTCCTAAGATGATGTATCAGGTTATTTTTTTTAAATGTTTTTAAACATTTTAAAACATATTGAGAAGAAATACTTTAGGTTAGAGATTATCCTGTTCCTGAAAAGGCATATTTTTTGAAACAATACCCATAAAGTGTTAATGGAAACTGTCAAAGATACCTTTGTTCTGAGAAGTCCAAAATGATAAGAGGGGAAGGTTTCATCTGGACTTGTCTCAGCTATTTCAAGAGGAAAAAAAGCATGAATTCGGGAATTTTGTCTTCTCTTAAGAAGTAATTCCTGTCCTCGGGCGCTTCTAGTCTGTAATGCGATTCGCAGTGCAGTGGCAGAGGCTTGGGAAATCCATAGAGAATGTAGACGTGTGACAGGTAATATGCACAAAATTATTAAACAGATTGCTCATTTTTTTCATTAATGGTTCACTCAATTTAGGATATATATTTTTTTCATGTCAAATTTGGCTCAGAAAGGTTTACCCAAATCTAAATTTCAGCCCTGGATATTTAAAATTGTCCCTACTCTAAAAAAAAAAAATAAAATGAACACAGAAAACTTAAGATACCCGTGTGACCCATGTTCCAAGATCAATGATAATTATTTTGTCTTTGTGGCTGCTGGAATGTTATACTGACATAGACCTCAAAGTCATTTTTAGAGTTTTTTAGCGAAATTAGTCAAATTAGAACAAAATGTACAAATTGAATTCATTTCATCTTCTACAGTTGTACTGCCTTCCTAAGAGGGATTTTTTTTTTCTGATATGTTAATGTCAGGGGGAATATTATTTCCTAATGATCCCTCTTTTGTATTAGGAAAGTAGTGGTTTGCATCTGAAAATTCGTTGAGTGAAAAGCAAAAATTATCACAGACCATTGGAAGATTCTATACAATTGCATTAAAATCATAGACTTCCAAATTACAGGGCAGGGATTCACAGATAATAGCAAGCATCCCTTAGGGTTGGCTTGGGAATGTGGGGCATTTGACTTTGGGCCTGCCTGTCCTGTGCTCTGTGGCCATGCAGGGCGCACCGGATGGCTGCAGGTGATCTATCGCCCCCTTCTGACCCTTACTCACACTGTGCTTTCTTGTGGTCTCTCAAAGGTACCTACCAGGGCCAGTGGGCCGGAGGCATGCGGCATGGCTATGGTGTGCGCCAGAGCGTGCCCTATGGCATGGCCACGGTGATCCGCTCGCCCCTGCGCACCTCGCTGGCCTCGCTGCGCAGTGAGCAGAGCAACGGCAGCGTGCTCCATGATGCCGCGGCCGCCGCCGACAGCCCGGCTGGCACCCGAGGCGGCTTCGTCCTCAACTTCCACACTGACATCGAGCTCGGGGGCAAGAAAAAGGGCGGCCTCTTCCGAAGGGGCTCCCTTCTTGGAAGCATGAAACTCCGCAAGTCGGAATCCAAGTCTTCCATCTCCAGCAAGCGCAGCTCTGTCCGCAGCGACGCGGCCATGAGCAGAATTAGTTCCAGCGATGCCAACTCCACGATAAGCTTTGGCGACGTAGATTGTGATTTTTGCCCCGTGGAAGACCACGTGGACGCCACCACCACCGAAACCTACATGGGCGAGTGGAAGAACGACAAGCGCAATGGGTTTGGCGTCAGCGAGCGCTCCAACGGCATGAAGTACGAAGGCGAGTGGGCAAACAACAAGAGGCATGGATATGGCTGTACCGTGTTTCCTGACGGCTCCAAAGAAGAGGGAAAATACAAAAATAATATTCTGGTCCGTGGAATAAGGAAGCAGCTTATACCAATAAGAAATACAAAAACTAGGGAGAAGGTGGACAGAGCAATTGAAGGAGCGCAAAGGGCAGCGGCCATGGCGAGAACCAAAGTGGAGATAGCAAATTCAAGGTAAGTACATGTAGGGGGTTGCCAGGGTCGGTCAGAACAGTGTGATATCAAAAATTAGGTCTGTCAGTCTGCTGGTGACATTACCAAATGGGGTCTACAACTGCCAAAAAATCAAAGGTGAGATTAAGTCCCCTAGAATGAGAGTAGAAATGGACCCGTACTGTTCTGAAACTGCTATTCTCAAAAAGAAATGTTGAAAGCACAGTGAAATCCCCTAACTGTTCTAAATTACTCTCCTAATAAGCACCTTGAAGGAATGTGCTCAGACTCTGCACATCTTCCTGAATCTAGAAAGTTGTATGTTTAAAGGACGCTGAAATGCTGCCCCAGAGAGCCAGAAAGAAAATATCAATCCACGGGGAAACCTTCCTAGTATGAAGTATAGCTTCATTCTGATGTTTAAGTTGGAGGTGTGTACATCATCCCCTATAAAATTATCCTAATTCAGAAAATGCAGATTCTGCTTATTGAAATCTCACAGGTAAAGTTTGTTTTTAGCCACCAAGATGTAGGTATGGACAGTGTGGTAAGTTAACATGACAATCTAGCATGCATTGTTTGAAACAACAGAGCTTGTCTACGTGGGGAGGGCAAGTAAACTAAGGCTCACAAGAATCATCACATTCTATGCAGGAGAGATTAGATCACTGGTATATTAAAAGGAAAGGGGTGGAGGGAACCTGACGTAGACAGATGGGACTCTCAATGTGCCAAGGTTGGAAGAAAGAGCAGTAGAGAAGGGCTGGCATGAGGAGGAGAAAGCGGCTGGATAATAGATTGACAAGTGGGGGGTATGTGGGCACACAGGACTTATGTGCTGGAACTTTTACCATTAAATAGCTGGTTTCAGGGATCCAGTGAGAGGGATAGAGAAATCTATTGCGAGTGAACATTATAGATCAGACAAAAAGGGAAAAGGGGTGGTTGTAAATGGAAAATTTTATTTTTAGGCTTTAGTGGGTACTGATTGGCCATAGTTTTTTGTGACTTGAGGCATAAATTTAGTATAGAATATTAAAAATCTGTTCCTGTTTCAGTAATACTCTCCCAGAGAAGTGAACCTCTTTTTGAAACCACAAAATACTAATATGTTTCCAGACTGTTTTCTTAGTATCGAATCAATAAGGCCCACTTTGAGCCATATGAAATGTATGATATTTGAACTTTTTAATGGGAAAAAAATGATTTCATATGGTTCAATTTAATACAGACTTCTGAAGTTCTTTCTTTAAATATTCGTATTAAAATTTAGAGCTACTAAATAAAAGTGGTCACTTTTTTTGCATTGTTTTTAGATATATATTACATTAAAAGTCCTGAAAGTTTTCATCTTTACCCCAAATTCTATTTTAAAGTTAATATTTATTAATAAATACAGACTTTCATGGAAGAGTCTCTGTCTGCCCACTCTTCCCTACCAAGCATCTTTTATTTTAGGTCGTCATTTTTGCTGATCACCAAGTATTGGGTCTACTTTGCTTTTCAGTTTGCTTGTGGACAGGGTACTTGGCACAGCTAATCTTGCTGGCTGGCTTTTAGAGCTGGGGATACACCTTGTGTTAAGCCCTAGTCACTAGTTTGAAATGCACATTTGGATTCTTCCATTTTCTTTTCACCTCTTAGTAACAGAGGCAGTTCAGTCTTGGCAGGTGAGAGATATATCTGGGTAGAACACATTAACAGATTATTCTAATTATTGACTTCTTATGATTAGTTTACACTGGAGGAATCTACATAACAGAAAGGCACAAGTGATGCAAACAGTGGTCTGTGATTAGTGTAGTGTCATAAAACTTAGCCAAGTTACCCACCATTTTCCCTGTTGAAAGTCTTTTGAAGGTAATATGTGGCTTTAGAGTACTGTATTATATAGTTATAATCAAGAAATCGTTAGCTTAAGACCTTATACTTTAAGCCAGTTAAATACTTCAGAAAGATTTCCCTAAGCCAGCGGTTCTCAATCTATGGGTTACGACCCACAGGAACTATATTGAAGGGCCATGGCATTAGGAAAGTTGAGAACCACTGCCCTAAACTATTTTGGGAAAAAAAAAATTCATTATAGTAAGTAAAATAAGCCAGTCACTGAAAAACAAATACTGCATGGTCCCACTTTGATGAGGTATCTGAAGTGCTCAAACTTAGAGACTAAAATGGTGGTTGCCAGGAACTGGAGGGAGCACAAATCTGACTATTCAACAGATATAAAGTTTCAGTTATGCAACCACCATACAGAGATCTGCATACAGCATTGTGCCTGTGGTTAACAATATTGTGTTGTACATTTAAAAATGTCTTAAGAATAAGTCTCAGAGGCTTGGCACCTGCAGCTCAGTGGTTAGGGTGCCAGCCATCTACACCAGGGCTCAGTGGGTTCAAACCCAGCTGGGCCTGCTAAACAACAGTAACAAGTACAACAAAAAATAGCTGGGCGTTGTAGTGGGCACCTATTGTCCCAGTTACTTCGGAAGCTGAGGCAAAGAGAATCACTTAAGCCCAAGAGTTGGAGGTTGCTATGAGCTGTGATGCCCTGGCGCTCTACCAATGGTGACAAACTGAGATACTATCTCAAAGAAAAAGCCTAAGTCTTATGGTACATATTCTTTAATTAAAAAAATAGTTTGGCTCTCACAATAGGCAAATTAAAATTTAAAAATTCAATTATCTTAATACAGAATGTCAACTGTTTTAGACAACTATTTTAATTAATATTTTAATTAAATAGTTCAATTACTAATTAATAGTTTAATAGACTACTATTTTAAATTGTACACAAACTTTATGGACACTCTGTACTTTCACTGTTTTAGTCTTTTTCCAGATTCCTTGATACACATATAATGAATACTTCAGATGTAGAGCTTTGCAACTTGTTTTTGGAGAAAATACCTGAAGGACTGATACTCTCCTAATAATAGTTCTGAGTTTAGAGTTCAGTCTTTAAAAAACTTTTTCAAAAAGTAGACAGATTCTCTTAAGGTTTTAGAGATTACTCCCTTGGGAAAAGGACTTCTAAGTACGTTAATTGTCATAAACTGTAGCTCTTTACAATGCCAGAGTATTTGCACAGTCCTTCCTGGCCCCCCTACAGTTGCTGTTACTACCGTTTTTAAAAGTATTATTACCTGAGCAGGTTGGCATGTACCTCTGGTCCCAGCTACTCAGGAGGTTGAGGCAGGAGGATCACTTGAGCCCAGGAGTTTGAGGTTGCTATGAGCTATGATGACACCACTGTACTCTAGTCCTAGACAACACAGCTGGACTCTGTCTCAAAAAAAAAAAATTTAAATATTGACAACTTGAGAACATATAGCAGTTCTCTTCCTGGCCCAGTCCAGTAACAACAGAGTAAGCACTAGAAACTGAGAGTTCTGGCAGCAGCTGCTATCAACAAAAAAAGATGATCAGTTAATAGTTACTGGCCAGGCAATGCCCATAGCTCAGTGGGTAGGGCTCCGGCCACATACACCCAGGCTGGCGGGTTCAAACACTGCCCAGACCAGCTGAAACAACAATGACAAGGGCAACAACAAAATAGCCGGACATTGTGGCGGGTGCCTGTATTCCCAGCTACTTGGGAGGCTGAGGCAAGAGAATCACTTAAGCCCAGGAGTGAGCTGTGACACCACGGCACTGTCTCAAAAAAAAATTTATTGGCCAGTTTGTCCACACAATTGCTATTCTGTCTCTGTTATTTCTTTGCTTTAGAGACTTTTGTTTGTTTCTTAAGTCCCAGGGAAATGGACCTGCTGTTGTACTGTCACCCTGTTTTATCTTAGAGCAAAACCTCAAATTGTTCTGAAGGGGAAATAATTGTATTATCTAACAATGTCTCCAGGAGACACAGAACCGACCATTTTTGTCTCAAAGATTCAAGAAAACACAGTAGATCAGAGAATCAAAGCAAAGGTCCCCAGAAGAGGGAGTGGTGTTGCTCCTCAGTAAACACTCAGGAGGCTTGTTTTGAAAAGCTTATTAGGGGCTCCAATTTAATTCTGATAGGTCAGGGAATATGGGGATAATGTCACAGCTATTAGATAAAAAACAACACATAGTAAATAGTTACTAAACTTTAGCACTTAAAGAGTCAAGACCATAAGGCTTGCTAATAATTTACTGCCTCCTAGAGCTTTTTTTAAGGTCTCTGCCATGATCCAAAAAGTATTATATTTGTAAGATTTAGTGAAATTTTATTTTCCTTTAATCATGGTCCAAAGGGTGAAAATAATCGCCTGAGATTGAGAAAGGGTCTTTAAGAAATGTTGAAGAGGACAGAGAACAACTCTGAATGTTGTAAGAAATAAGCCTACCAAAACCTACCACTGCTTACCAAATCAGCATTGCCAAAGCTGCTCCATCCAGTGGTGGCCAGACTGTTTCCAGTCATGGCATCCCAGCCACTTTGTAGATGAAGACGCTACCTGAGACAGATGTTGGGACTGAGGAGAGTCGGGCCAGCACCCAAGCCATCTGGCCTCACTGGTCTTTCCTGCATCAGTCAGTCTTCAACCTTGGTAGCAACTTAGTCAACCAAACTCTTTTGAGTCACAGGAGTGCTATTTACAGACTTACAACAAGAATGTCCCACCCCACCCCTGTACGCTCACTTTACTTTCTAGAAAATAAAATGAGCAGAATCTCTTTTGTTACAGAATACTCAAGGCCCCCAATCTCAGATCTGGAAGGGCCACGGGAGAGTGTCTGGTCCAAGGCCTTCACATCCAGAGACAGGCTCTGCCCAAGGTCACGCTGCTGTCTCTGTTGTTTCCATTCTGTCTCTTAGGTATTCAGTTTTTATTCCTTTAGTCCTTACCTCTAGTCATTTCAGTTACATTTCTCACTTGCTCAATTTTTATTCCATCAACTCTTGTCTCTAATAATTCCTTAACTGAGATGTGTTCCTTGAGAAAAACATTTTAAGGAAGAATTTTAAAATAAGACATTTGGTTGATATAATCAATAAGAAGTGACCTGTACAGAACCCTGCATACATGGAAATG